ATCAGTAGCCCCTTCTCCCAAGCATTACAGCTCAAGAATACTCTGCCATTACAGGCTAGAGGGAGTGGCACCACACGAAATGCACCAAAAAATGAGGCTGGCAGACCAGCAAGGACATGCACTACCAAGAATGACAACATAAACGACACTAGTGGATGAAAATCAACACGTACTGCCAAAATACACAAAGAAAATGAAGAGCTGACCAACAAAGACATGTACTACCAAAAATGACATCAAAAACAAGACAAGCAGATCAACAAGGACATGTACTACCGAAACCGACACGAACAATAAGAAAAGAAAACCAACGCCTCTTTCTTGCTCTATTCCTCCTTCTATTTACGCATTTTGTCTTTCATGTTGTCTCATTCCTCCTTGTCATTTTTACAGTTTATCCCATCTCTCTAGCTCTCATTCCTTCTTTTATTTTCCTGTTGTATTTCCTTTTGATATCATTCCTCCTGTCATTTTCACATCGTACCTCTCTCTAGGTCTCATTTCTTGTTTTATTTTCACATGTTGGCCTTTCTAAGTGACTCTCGTCCCTCCTTTCAGTTTCACACTTATATATTTCGCATTTTCGCATCTCTTGCTCTTTCTTGCTCTAATTCCTTCTTTTATTTTCCTGTTTTATTGTCTTTTGATGTCATTCTGTCTTTTGACGTCATTCCTCATGTCATCTTCACATTTCACATCTCTCTAGGTCTCATTTCTTGTTTTATTTTCGCACTTGGCCTTTCTTTTGAGCTCTGACTCCTCCTTTCAGCTTCACACTTTATATTTTGCATTTTGCCACTCTCTTAGATATGTAGTCGGTAGTCTACAAGTGTGTATGTATGAGACGGTTTAAATCATTATTCAGAGATACTACCTGAAGCCAGCTGGAGACAGGGAAGGCTCAGCAAATACCAGCAGTGACGTCTTTGGAATTGGAGCATCCCACTGCTGGTCAGTATTGATACGAACTGAAATGATGGTTACCTTGCATTTGACACGAGGGATGGTTTCCTTTTGAGAGCAGGGACGGTTGCCTTTTCAGAGCAGGGACGCAGGGATGGTTTCCTTTTGAGAGCAGGGACGGTTGCCTTTTAAGAACAGGGACGCAGGGACGGTTGCCTTTTGAGAGCAGGGACGCAGGGATGGTTGCGCCCCGTGGGAATAAAAGGAAGCAGGGACGCAGGGACGGTTACATACATCTTAAATGAAAAACGGAAGGTGTGAGGTAAGGGATTACCATTTCCGACCAAAAAAGCGGCAGATGGGAAAAAAGGAAGCAGGGACGCCCCATATAAGGAAGGAGCAGGGACGGGGACGGTTTACACCCCCCTAAACCCAGAAACAGATAGATAGCCTATAGCCATGAATGAGTTCAAGGACCCGCTCGACGCCACCGAAAAGGAGAAGGTGACCAAGCTTGTTACTGAGCTCCGCGAACTTGCTGCTAAGGGTCAGCCTGGCGATGGCGCTGTTACCTCTGAGCAGATCCGGGAGAAGATCAACGAGACTCGTTGATCGGATGCATCACTTCCCCTTTAGCTTTAGACAACCGAAGCATGGTAGGTCGATGAGGTCTAGGTCCCCAAAATTGCATTCGCAGGAGGCATGCCCGGGTCCGTGATGTCCTTTTGCTAGAATTGGCGCTTACAAGGAATATTTGGTAGAGAACGGCGGTTGTGCTGCTGACAAGAGCCGGACGGGAATTCTTTGACATTTGTACGATTTTGTTCCCAAGACCCATGGAAATCAGAATCCCCGAGGGATGCCACTGGAATCATTGGCCATACGACATCATAGCACGTCGTTCCAAGTAATCAACGGTAGACAGCCATACAGGCTAGACCACTACAAAGGTTGATGGTACCTGACAAAGGAAGAAATATTAGGAAGGCGACTTGACGTCGCCGATCATTTGCTCTCTAAACATAGTCAGGCAACAGGCGGTCACATTTGGGTGTACAAACAGTAGATGGAGATATATGGACTATTGAAGAGGATTGTTGCTGTCTACTACTGAGCTAAGAAAGGATGTGCAATCTCCTCTGAGCCGTTGGCAGGACTGAGGAGGGTAATGGTGGGTCCCCGAAGGACTATGAGGTTCAGCAAGCGGCTGTGAGGTTCCGGCCCTGGGGACTTACGGTTTCTTTCCACCAATCATGGTATGCTGGTGTTAAGGTTCCCGTCCTAGCCGATATGTACATAATATCCAAGAAGATACCACTGAGTAAATACACTGCATACCGCATTGCATGTAATGTATATGCCACACATCATCGTAAAAATGAAAGACACATAAAGATGATGAACAATAAGATAGCACTGATCCACCTAATGTCGGTTTCAGTGGGGGAGGGGAGGGAGGGGAGAACGTTCACATCGGTGGCGAATGGTTTTATCGAACATTCTGTGCTGAGTACTGTAGAAATAATTGTAAGCATTGGAAACTGGGGACAATCAATCCACAAACTTGTAAAAACATGATCGCACACAACACAATATTTGTCACACTATCAGCCATCAACCCATTCACATCGATTGGCGGTTTGTCGCGTTCCATCATCGTCGACGCAATAGGTAAGCATGATTGTTGTGGACGACCGCTATGAAACTCTTAGTGTTTTCCTCGGTGACCTCATAGTTCATTGTCGATTTCGCTGACATCAAGCAGTTAAATTCCACATTTCCTGACGAAATAGGTAAGCATGGCGTTCGCTGACCGAATCTCAGTGTTTTTGATCGCTGACCTGAAAGTTCATCAATAGCCATTGATATCGAATCGTTAGTTAACGCCGTTTGTTCACCTTGCAATGAATACTGATTCATGGACGTTCATGGTTCATTGATCATTAGATGCCGTCAACTGGTGGAAGACCTCCAAACAGACAGAGAGGAGTGAATGAAACCGTTGAGCTCCACACGCCAGGCAAGTCCTGAAGTCATTTCGGTGCATAGAGTGGGGTTGACTTACCAGTGACCGGTGGCGCATATATTACAGAATTTTTATCTCGTCTCGAGGGCCTCATTGAGGGGTCATATGAACCCTCTCGAGATAGGTTCAACGCCGACGACGATGGTGACCACACAACACAGGCGGTCAACATGCGCGTCAGACGGCGAATCGGCATTTTATCCAACGGTTTGCACGAAATGATGTCTGACGCATTCGACATGTTTGATCTTGCGGGCGGGAGCGTCGACCAGATCAACGCGGACGAATACGACGTTGAGTTTACATCGGAGAGCACGATAGAAACCAGGCGAAATCAGCGACGTGAGGCGTTGTATACCAGGATGCAAAACGCTAGACTAAGATCTCGAAACATCTGGGCAATAGTACGGTTAGCTAAGGAAATCAAGGAGGAGGCGGCAAAGGTGGTTGATGAGTCCTCAGCATGGGATGACGATATGGCTGAGGGTCGTGATGCCTATGTATGCGAGCGGATGAGACGTATCACAGCCTGTCAGAACAAAGCCAAGATCGCAGCGGTTAGCATCCTGAAACATTGGCCAACACATTGGCCAGCAATTGGAGGGACGCAGGTTCAGTGGATGACGAAGAGAGGGGAAAAGAGGCAGGAGGGTGTGTGGCAGATTATCGATATGTGCCGCCGCTCATTGGAGGAGCTGGAGGAGATCATCCTCCATTCAGCGGACTGGTAAAGGTTGTGTGATTGTGGTTTGGTTGGTTGGTTGGTTGGTTCATAATTGCTTAGGGGGAATGAATGTGTAATTGTTTTTACATTAGATTTACTGTGGTGGGGTCATTGACCCTATGTTGGAGGTGTTTCATCATGTGCATCTTGTTCTTTATGGGCCAAGGCAGGTGTGTATGTGCTGGCGCTGTGTATGAAACTGACACATACTGTGATTGTTTAACACCACTGAGATAGTTTGCAACCAGCTTACTTATACACATATATATTGCCTCAAAATGGTGTCTTCACTGGTGACATTTCATCAACACTATATTCATACATTCAGCAAGTAACAATTGAAAAACAGAACGGAGAACCAGAGAACACAAATAAACTCATTCCTACATGAGAAGATGTAGCAGCACAATACAGATAACTCCTCACAAGTGTTAAAGCAAATGAATTAATACTCCAAGACAGAGAGGACACCACCTTTGTTCAGGAAGGGTTGATAGAGTCATAGGAGGTCAGCAATTATTCTATTGACGACAAGGGGTTGGTCTTACAGTACTTGTTAATATTGATAGTTCTGAAGAACAGCTACCTCCGCATGATCATCTCAAATCTGCCCAAGACACTTATTGATGTGGTCCGGCAATCCACTGTGCAGGACAGTTAGTTATGAAGGCTACAGTAAAAAAGTCTACTTTCAGATCAGGAGTGACATGGCAAACAGTCAGCACTTAGACAATGAACACCCATTCTGTAGGATGAGACCACACCTATATGCGAGACAAATAGTCATGACAGCTACAGTAAGAAATTTTACCTTCAAGGGCAGCAGCCATGCGCTTGACTGCTGAGACTTGGTGAAAGAAGACAACAACCTCAGCCTTAGGGCCAGATACAATACTCTGCCCTGTCCAGTCCATAGGGAGAGCCGCCCCGCTTGTCTAAGCAGTCGTGTGGTAGACGGTGGGACTGGAAAAACGAGCACCAATTCTATGAAATGATAGGACGGCCCCAACAACAAATCCACCCCAGCCTTTAGGTCAGATACTCTACCCTGTGAAGGGCAGATGGAGAGCCGCCCCGCCTACCACAACTCTGGCCAAAGCCAGACTAGCATCCTCATATGAGGATTCGTGTGATGGACGGTGGGACTGGCAAAACGAGCACCAGTTCTGTAAAATGATATAGGCCGGCCCCAAACGACAACTCCACCCCAGCCATAAGGCCAGATACTCTTGCCCTGTAAAGAACAGAGGGAGAGCCGCCCCGCCTACCACAACTCTGGCCAAAGCCAGACTCGGTTCCTCGTATGAGGAGTCGCGTGATGAACGGTTGGGACTAACAAAACGAGCACCAGTTTTGTAAAATGATATAGGACGGTCCCAACGACAACTCCACCCCAGCCGTAAGGCCAGATACTCTTGCCCTGTAAAGGGCAGAGGGAGAGCCGCCCCGCCTACCACAACTCTGGCCAAAGCCAGACTCGGTTCCTCGTATGAGGAGTCGTGTGATGGACGGTTGGGACTGGCAAAACAAGCACCAATTCTACGAGATGATAGGACGGCCCCAACGACAACTCCACCCCAGCCTTAAGGCCAGATACTCTTGCCCTGTAAAGGGCAGAGGGAGAGCCGCCCCGCCTACCACAACTCTGGCCAAAGCCAGACTCGGTTCCTCGTATGAGGAGTCGTGTGATGGACGGTTGGGACTGGCAAAACAAGCACCAATTCTACGAGATGATAGGACGGCCCCAACGACAACTCCACCCCAGCCTTAAGGCCAGATACTCTTGCCCTGTAAAGGGCAGAGGGAGAGCCGCCCCGCCTACCACAACTCTGGCCAAAGCCAGACTCGGTTCCTCGTATGAGGAGTCGTGTGATGGACGGTTGGGACTGGCAAAACAAGCACCAATTCTACGAGATGATAGGACGGCCCCAACGACAACTCCACCCCAGCCTTAAGGCCAGATACTCTTGCCCTGTAAAGGGCAGAGGGAGAGCCGCCCCGCCTACCACAACTCTGGCCAAAGCCAGACTCGCATCCTCGTATGAGGATTCGTGTGATGGACGGTTGGGACTGGCAAAACGAGCACCAGTTCTGTAAAATGATATAGGACGGTCCCAACGACAACTCCACCCCAGCCATAAGGCCAGATACTCTTGCCCTGTAAAGGGCAGAGGGAGAGCCGCCCCGCCTACCACAACTCTGGCCAAAGCCAGACTCGGTTCCTTGTATGAGGAGTCGTGTGATCGACAGTTGGGACGGGCAAAACGAGCACCAATTCTATGAGATGATAGGCCGGCCCCAACGACAAATCCACCCCAGCCGTAAGGCCAGATACTCTTGCCCTGTAAAGGGCAGAGGGAGAGCCGCCCCGCCTACCACAACTCTGGCCAAAGCCAGACTCGCATCCTCGTATGAGGAGTCGTGTGATAGACGGTTGGGAGATGTGTAGGAAAAGGTCAATACCCCCAGAACCCACCAAGGCGTCAGTCCACTGAGATGGACATGCAAAGCCAAGAAAGAAAGAAAAAAGAAACAAAGGCGTCAGTCCACTTAAGAGGACATGCAAAGCCAAGACGAAAGATAAAAGAAACAACGGCGTCAGTCCACTTGAGAGGACATGCAAAGCCAAGACAAAAAATAAAAGAAACAACGGCGTCAGTCCACTTGAGAGGACATGCAAAGCCAAGACAAAAAATAAAAGAAACAACGGCGTCAGTCCACTTGAGAGGACATGCAAAGCCAAGACAAAAAATAAAAGAAACAACGGCGTCAGTCCACTTGAGAGGACATGCAAAGCCAAGACAAAAAATAAAAGAAACAACGGCGTCAGTCCACTTGAGAGGACATGCAAAGCCAAGACAAAAAATAAAAGAAACAACGGCGTCAGTCCACTTGAGAGGACATGCAAAGCCAAGACAAAAAATAAAAGAAACAACGGCGTCAGTCCACTTAAGAGGACATGCAAAGCCAGGAGAGAAGAGAGCACAAATTAAGATTTGAAAAAAGAACTCACTTTGGTACCGCCCCGCTAGAGGCACCTTCCATTATGGGAATGGGGGGCGCTAAGAGGTCAGGACGGAAAAGGAAAGGTTAATTGAGGGAGGGACATGTGGAGGAATGGAAGAAGGAAATGTGAGTGCATAAAGCCGTCCTCTCATTGGAGGGACGCGGTGGGTGGTTGGAAAGGGAGGAACAAATAGGAAAGAAAGAATGAGACGAACAAAAAAATGAACCACGACCAAATACAAACAAATACAACAAATACAAATAAACAAACGCGACGCGTCAGTGAAACAAACCAAAGTCACAATGATCACGTGATCTGTGACCAATGCACAGGACGCGCCTCAGCATTTGAGAACGCCCTACTATTTAAATTCAATTACATCAAGTAAATGTATTAAATGACAGCGTGAATGAATATATTTGTAAGATGACAAGCACACTTACAAATATTGATATATCTATGTAGTTTCAAGAACCATTAATTAGATAGAATTAAGTATACGCGTGCATATGTATAGCGCACAGGAGTTTACAATGAAAGAGCCAATGTGGTTGCGGGTCAAAACGACGGGAGTGAAAATGACAATGGCTAGCTAAAAATAAATAAAAAATACAAGTGTACCGCGTGAATGCACAACAACAATGACGGGCTTCGAAATCACAATGGGCGGGTGCGAAATAAAACAATGAAGTTTCAGGTGTGGTCTTTTCACGATGATCACGCCGGTTTGCGCACAACAATGAGGTAAGTCGGGTCCACAATTTGAGATATGACGCGGGGTTCAATGCTCCATATTGTTTATTGTTTGTCGGACCTCATGGCCGGAAAAAAATTGCTGCCGGCGTCACCTATTCACAGACAACGACCATCACGACTTTAGCCACTCCTCCCAATCCAACATGCCCCCATTAAAGATGACCGCCAAAAAGTCCACTGGAGGCTTTGCTCCTAGGATTGTCCTTACCGTCCCTGACCAGGACATTGTGACCGCGACAACTCAGCATATGGAGATAGACCAGGATGGGTCTGAGCACAACAATGTGAGTATTCCGTCTGTCTACAAAATAGGTCACCAAAAGACAATTCACATCGCACAGTTTTGCATCATATGTCGCGATGGGTCCAATAGGCCAAACTCGTTGATCTGTTGCAACGATTGTCCGCGAATCACTTGCGTGAATTGCTTAGATATTCCAAGATTGTTTCGACGCACGGTCCAGGCTGAGGACGTCATCTTCAGATGCCTCGTGTGCCACATTGGACGGCAGAGAGACGACGAGAACCGAGAGCCATACTTCGTGAGTAATCAGCATAACCTACCTTGTATTCCGATTGAATAGCATTGGTTGTACAGGGTTTTTACAAGGGCGGGCTGCCCATCTTCAACAAGTTCCTCCCAGTCCGCGCCACTCTCGAAGTGTCTAAACGAGCTCAGATCTCGTCCTCCCCGGTGCTTTTCCTTCATCTAAATCTGGTCGATAACGATACTACCGGCGGACCGTTCAAATTAGCCTATCAATTCATTCAACCGTACTTTCCCCGAGGGGGGCTGCGTTATCAAGAGGTGTCGTTCGACATTGCAACGCCCCAGAAGTTAACGGAGTATCTAAAAGACGCATCCAGAATGGTGCAGGATCTCCGGAAACAGCGAATCTGGCCTCGCATTGTCATCGCCATCACAAACCACACGGACAACGACAGTGGCGATCCGTTCGCAGGTTACGTCAATGGAAAATACATTTCCGCCGCAATAGACGAGGTAAGTACTACGAATGTGTCACACCTTAACTAACGCCTCATGTATTCTAGTTCCTCACAGTCATCCTCAAGCCATGGAAGCAATTGATCAGTGACGCCGGGGAATCCTTCCTGTGGTTTTTCTGTTGCGGTGCATTGATTAACAACGTGGATTCTTTCAACCTGCTGAGGAAATCTATACTATCGTACGTCCTGTCCTTAATTGACTTTCAATTATCAGTATCTAACAACTGACACCAACAAAGTCACCGTATCTCCGCAAGCGTTGCTTTCACGGCGCGTCGGTTCCAGCCAAATTTCGCATGCCACCTGCTACTTGCCTTCGTCGAACTCGTCCTCATCGAATGCGTCTCGATAACATACGCGTTTCCTCACATGCTTGGCCAGTCCAACAAACTTGGACGCCACACGGACATCATTTTAATGCTGACCGATACACTCACCGGAGAATTGAGGACGACGAAATATAGTTGGGCTAATTCCGATCATCGTCCTTGGGGACACAGCTTGCCAATCCAATGCCCGGATTGTGGGTGCGTGGACGCATGGAGATCGGCGAGCAAAGGAGGCGTTTATCTTTTTGAGTGTAGCAACGACAGTTGCAGGAAGTCTTTGAGGTTTGAGAAACCAGCTAACGCGGTGAAGCTGACACCAGGAAAGACTAACAGCAGCTGCTGGCTGTCCATGGACTTAGACACC